TATGATGTGATAGGTAAGGTATGAAAAAGTAAAGGGTAAAAGAGGTTTTTAAGAGAAAAGAAAAATTTATTTGGGGAGTAAGAAAAAACGAAAGAGGAAGTTTATTTGGAAACAGAGGGAGTATATGAGATGCCTTAGCTTAAAACTAACGTCGTCGTCCTTAGGGTATGCGTGCATCTAAGAGCATCACCCGAGGAGAACATAGCCTAAATGTGGCTCTTTGGTAATCACAGTGAAACATGTGATTAATTTTAGAATGATTTTTAAATATATAAATCTATTATTCTGACTATATAAATATCAATTTTAACTTTTTCAATTATATACCCGGAGTACAACAGTTGAATATATTAAATTAAAAATAGTTTTAGTCAAACAACATAAATCCCAGTACAATTTTAGGAAAAAAACTAAAGTAAAAGTAAAACAGTGAAAATATACTAAAGTAAGAGTTTCATATTTTTATTCCAGAAATAGAAGTTAAAATGCATATACACTGTCAATCACTCAATCATGACCATATACATTACCAAAAAATATTTTGAAATGTTCATATATAATAACACATTACTACAGTACAAACTCCTATTAAAATGAATGGATGATTTCTTTATGATTTTATTTTTGATATTAGTAGTTCTTATAGGAAAAGAAACGAGAGGCCGGGCCCTCCAGCACCCTAATTATGTCACTGGGTACGTTCGGCACCTTAAACTTTCCTGAAAAATGTTTCCATTGGCCGCCTTAAACTTAACGTCGTCGTTAGGGTATGGGTTATATAATAGAATCACCAGAGCGGTCCAATTTATTCATAAGTAAGTATATAGCTTATTAATTAGTGCAATATAAACGGATCTGGTTTAATTTGTGGAGCTATTAATTAGTAAACTAACCCCAAAAATGGTTCACTCTTCCAAAAATATGTACCTCCTGCTGGCTTTTCTTGCTCTTTGTGTTTCAGGTATGCATGATGATAACTTCTGTGGTTATCAATTGGTATTTTTTGTTATTTCCAGTTTTTGATTATATTACTTTTATTCTATAATTGTGTTTCTGTTTTCAGTCATCATTTGATAAAATAAAATATGAATCTCATCTCTTGTTTCATACTCTCTCCGTCCCAAAAAGTTTGTTACGTTTAGAAAAAACTGCGTCCCGTAAAGTCCGTTACATTTCTATTAAAAAACCACTTTTATCCCTTACTTTTTCATACCCTACCTATCACATCATACCTTTTTCCTAATAATCTACCCATCACATCCTACTTTTACCCATCACATCAAGGGTATTTTGGAAAGTCAATACCAAAATATCCCTCCCTTAATTTCCCAAAAAGTCAAACCGTACCATTCTTTTTTAGACGGAGGGAGTACAACTTAAATGTAATTTTTAAGAAGTAAATATTTACGAGTAAGTTATACTTCTATTTTCTACATAAATTAAAAATTAATTGGGGACGAAGGGAGGGAGGTAGTATATAACAATTACCACGCACGTGCGGCACTTTTATGTTCTTACCATCTATCACTCCCTCTGTTTCGGAAAACAATTTTCATTTTCACTTTTAGCGAATTTAAAAGAGTCTATTTTGTATTTGACTCTTCACTTTTGTCTTTGAATGAAAAAACTAAGATGTGATATGTAGATTTATATTACATTGATATGAGCCTTGTTTGAAAGTTGGATGTTTGTGTCGGTTGTTCTAAATGATTGTTGAGTGTGTTAGTTGGTTGCTAAGAAATGTTTGGTAAACTTAGGTCTCTGCAAATACTCCATCCGTTCCTTTAAGCCCTTCTCATTATGACTTTGGGCCAAATAAGGAAAGTATAATTTTGATTGACTTTTCAATTTTGCCCCTGATGTGATGAGTAAAAGTAAGATGTAATATTTTGGTTATTAGTGAAAAAATATGATGTGATAGGTAGGGTATGAAAAAGTATGATTAAAAGTGATTTTTTAATAGAAATTAAAGTGGAAGTATTTTAAGGAATTAGAAAAAAAACGAAGGGGAAAGAGTTTTATGGAACGGAGGGATTAGTTATTTAAGATTGAATCTAACCGATTGGGTAATAAGATACTTGGATTGAACTATATTAAAAGATTAAATCAAATTGATTACTTAATTTATGGGTGCAGAGAGTGTGTGGTTGGGTGCGAAAGCTGATGACGCCGGCGGCACTCCGCCATTGCAAGACGGGTGTTCCTTGACGGTTCCTCCAAGCGTGACGACGGCATGCAGAGATCATACAAATCGGGAGACGGTGATATCAGATTGTTCGGGCACGTGCAATGCCACACGTGCCGGCTCCATACCAGTGTGTAATAGTTTGGATGGAAGTGGAACCAACTTCAACTGTGCTTGTCAATACTTCACGACAGATAAAGCCGCTTGCAAGGCCGCCGATGCTCTACCCTCCACCTCCTCCTCCTCTTCTTCACCGCCGCCGACTCGCCTCCCTGCAGCCGCCGCTTCCGCCGCCGCACCCATTATAAATATGATACTCCTTCTCCTTATCGTCATTTAATTCCTACATTGATTCATTCATTCGCCATTATCTCCGGCCGGCCGGCCCCCCAGCACCTCCATCAATTATTCAACCTCCATGCATGCATGCATGCTGTTACCTACCTACGTAAAACGTTGTTTCTTGTTTGTTTGTTTGTTGTTGTTAATTATAATATTTACACTCGATCGATTCACTCCGATCCATTAATTAATTAATTACTCCATAGAGTTTCATGTATCACGTACGGTACGGTATTACCACACAGTCCACACTACTACTACTACTAATACTACGTACTCAAGCATTAACATTACTGGTTTTTTTTATTTACATACCCCGTGTATATAAATACATACTCTCTACCTCACTTTTGAATCCCACTTTGATTTTCAACATTAACGTTTTTAAACATTATATTGATGACTACAAGTTATGAGATTATATATATATATATATATATATATATATATATATATATATATATATATATATATATAGGGATTGACTCCAATGAGATGACGCATTATGGTGAGATGACATGCTTCGGTGAGATGATGCAAAGCTCACCATACTACACTACAAAGCTCACCAATGGACAATGCAAAGCTCACCTAGAAATAAAGTAAAGCTCACCACTTTCAACACCAAAACTCACCTTTTTTTTACATATTAAATATTTAAAATTCATAAAAAATAAAATAGCAACACCGGTCAAACACCGGTCAGCGGCGGTGGTTGCCGGCGGCGGGGCGGCGGCATATCCCGGCGACCAGCGGCGGCAAGCGGCAACCGACGGCGGCTGTCAGCGGATTCCGGTGAGTGGCGGTGGCGGCAGATTCCGGCGGCCGGTGGAGGATTCTGCCGAACTGCGGCGGCAGATTCTGGCGACCGACGGTGTCCGACGGTGGCAGGTGGTGGTCAAAGGTCTCAGTCAACGGTCAAAGTTCAGTCAGCACCCCTTTCTTTGATTTAATTTTTTCAAAAAAAAATCAAATTGTTGAAAAAATATGGTGAGCTTTGACTTACAGTTTGGTGAGCTTTGTAGTTGTCCTTGGTGAGCTTTGCAATTGGCAGTAGTGAGCTTTGCGTCATTGACTCTAGGATGTCATCTCACCGTAAGGTGTCATCTCACTGGAGTCAATTCCATATATATATATATATATTTTTTGAGTCAATCCCATATATATATATATATATATATATATATATATATATATATATATATATATATATATATATATATATATATATATATATATATATATATATAAGCGTCAAAAAGTAGAATATATAGAGTACCCCGTTTGATTTTTTTAGTGCACTATTCTGCACTTGATACTTGATAGTACACATCTTACTTTTGGGCGCCATATAAAATAAGTACTTAAATAATTTTAAGTACTTAAATAATTTTAAATGAATGTGTGAATACGAATCAAAATATGGAGAAATGGATAAGATTGCCAGTAGTACTCCGTATTTATTCATAAAATTTAATTTTTTTAAAAAATTTTAAATTTAACCAATACGGAAAGTCTAATTCAACCCTAGAAAATTATTTTGATATTAAAACGCATCTCATAATTCCTGGATATACTTCTTGTAAATAATTATGATCACTCAAAAATGAAATCAAATTGTGAAGTTTGCATTAAATAGGACTAAAACATAATGACTTTCCTAATGTAGGACTTAAACTTTTTTATTCCCTAAATAGGACTTAATAATAACCTAGTGAAAAGAATAATGTCCAGTAATGATGGAAATTTAGTTGAATAATGACTACTTGATAATGACCAAGAGTCCTACATTGGAAGATAAAAACATATGATCCTATATTGAGAAAGTCATTATGTTTTAGTCCTATTTACGTAAATTTCTCAATCAAATTATCAACCTATCATTTTTCATCACCAACTAGAGATTAAACTTTAAAAAAAAATTGAGTGAGACGCAGGCGACTCCGCAAGTGGTGAGAAGGATGTAGTGTGTAAACAAAAATTGAGAATGGATGCTATTCCTTTTGGGCTATCACACTTTATTTAAAAAGTTTAATTGAAAATAAAGCTATCGTGTTGAATAAATAAAATGCCATACACCTAATATGAACAGAGATTTCGAGAAGAATGGATCAAATTGAAAAAAAAGACGTGCCCATCCATAAAGGCACATCAGAACCAATCAAACAGTTAACTAAACTATAATCATTAACTAACAAAGGGTGAAGCCTAACACTTACAAAGGCTATAATTATCTCCCAACACAACGGCCATGAATTGAACTCAAATTTATTCTTTTTTTGACACTCATTGCTCAACCAAAATTGAAGTCATGAAGCCTGAAGCACACCACAACCGCAACGGGGGATGTGCCCGTTGATTGATTGACCAAACCATTCTGCTATCAATTACTCCGCTTGGCCAAAGAATACAAGTTCTACTTTGTTTTAAATATGTGCCAATATACAATTCATGTTCTCTTGTTAGAAAAAAAAAATTGTGCTTCATATTATTTAATACCAACACAAGTTTTTATTCTAAGTGGCTAAGCATCACATATAAGAATTATTCACCTTGATCAAACCCAATAGATTTGCTCAACACACATGAATCATAAATTAGAATAAGTAGGGTGACAATGTGGGGGAAAAGAATGAAAAGCTATCAAGTTTTAAGAGCTCGGCCTTTGTACCGCCCTCTCGTAATTACAAAGTCATCTGGAGGTTGAAACTCTTCCAACCATGTCACTCCAGATATTGCCATTCCCTCCACCTCAAGCTCGCCTTAGGTGAAAACGCAGGGAAAAAAAAATTATTTTTCATCCAGAAAAAGCGTCCAAAATAAATTTAGTATGAACCAACCCAATAAATTAGAAATACTGTNTAGCGTGGATAGGAATGGAGTTCAGTCTTACCTGGAAGATCCTCTCTGTGAGACCTTTGGAAGTAGGTGCAATGCCTTCCATCATCGGAGGAGTAGGGCGGAGAAAGGATGTCGAAGATTGCACAAGGAGTAATGGCTTGGAAACAATGAATGTTACCTCCGCTTGAGGGATAGAGAACTGTGGTTCCACATGGTGCGCTCATCTCACAATCTTTAACAAGTTTTGCTGGTCGAGCACCTGAAAGTCAATCACACAAAAATCAAAATATGGTAACCAAGCTGACATCCCCACACCCGCATAGTCTCCCCCCCCCCCTTAGTTTTGCCCTTTGCTTATTTATTCGTGCTCTATGGTCGTGCATACACACACCGTATCCATACCCAGCTTTTATGGGATTCTACAGGGATAGTGGGATGTTGTTGTCATGGTAAAATTGATTCTCCATCTCCATCTATCCCATTACTATCTATCACTATGTTGTTCGTGTCTATAGCAAATTGTCGATACTATCCAACATTACTCTCCATCTCTATTGTCGATCGACGATCAAGTCATGTCCATCTCCATTGTCAATCATTACTGTCTATCATTACTACCCATCACCACCTTCACTGCCACATTCACTAAAGAGGATGGGGCAACAGGCCAATGACAACAAAGGTGGATGAGTAATGTTGTGGGAGGGAGGACAACGGGAAGGGAGATGGTGGTGGTGGTGGTGGTGCTTGAGGAGGTGAAGATGGGGAAAAAAAGAATGCAGAAGAGAAGCAACTAGCTACAGAAGTGAGGATAAGAAGAAGAAGAAAAAAAGAGAAGAATTAATTGGGGTTTGAATAAGAACATTTTGATACATTTATAATATTCATTAATAAATTACTCCATTCATCCCAAACAGGATTTCCTTTGACTTCATCGATATTAAGAAAAGTGTTGAAAAGATGTTAAATACCCCGTAGTGAAAAATGAGTTATTTGATTTTGTTTTGTGGGGTCTAGGATGGTGTGTATGCAAACCTTATCACTACTATAGCGATAGAGAGACTGTTTCAAAAAGACCTTCGACACAAGAAAGCATAAAAGAAGTTGAAAAAATATCGATCAAAAAGTTTCTTCAGATCACACCTAGAGTCCGAAAAGATGAAATTTCACTAGAAAGAATGCATGGATTGAATATAAGCAATGGCATTTCAAGCCACAACAGGCATAACATTCTGTTGAAACTTGAAAAATTGTTGAGTTAACATAACGTACCTTGAGATAGATCAGGATCCACTGGTACGTCAATCCAATCATAGGATTTCACGTAGAAAGAGCCGTATATAAGCTTACTTAAGACTGTCATCCCAGGATGGTTGTGCAGAGGAATTATTGAGGAAGGTGGCATGCAGAATATTCCCATCTGTAACATCATTCAATACGCTTGTATCTTTCAATCGACTTAATACACCAGTTTCCTAAAACTGGAAATAATAAGATGACATTGTAGCTCTAAACTCATGACCGGCATTATATTTCTTCCCATCATAGAATAAAAAGCCAGTCAAACAAATGTGTGCAACACTCACAGTAAAGCTTTCACATTCATGTATATGAATGTATTTGATAGGAGGTGGTGACTGTGGGCCCCCATTACGCTGACGTGCACTAGCATTCCAATTTCGCACCGCTTGTGCATCTTGCTCAAGGCCAACATCAGAAGGCTTGATTTTATCTGAAACAAAATGGATAAACACCAAACTGATGAAACCATTAAAATGAAAAAGGATGAAATGGATGAATCACTCCAATATCAACAGCATTTTTATTATGAAGTTACATGAAAATGATGAGACTTCAAAGTAAATGGCAATAAAGTGTAACATATCAACTTGTAATAAAAGTAAAGCACAGCTAGTTTCAGGAAGCTACAGTTAAGTCAGTTCACATCTTGAATATAAAATCTAACTTCTCCAACAATAATGTCCAGATCATGCAACAATTGTGAAATGCTTCAGTGTAGAGTCATGGGGGTGTTACATGAACAAAAGCATGTCATTTTAAGTGCTTCCATTTAGGAAAGCATTTATCTCGTGAGATGGAATGATATAGAGATTTGACTTTAAGGTAATGAACTCAGAGCAAAGAATATATTCATCTCTTAATGAAGCCAATAAACGTCATCCTTACCAATGTAAGTATTTGGGCTTAGATGAAGAAAAAAAGATGGCATCCTAAGGACCGTATAGATTGGGGGTCCTTGGAAAAATAAAAACATGTCATCCAGGTATTGTGTTGTTGTTGTATGTCGTTCTAAGTATGGATGGATCTATTGGGAAAGATGGAATTGTTTAGGAATTTGACTATATGGTAATGAAAGTGAAACAAAGAATACAATCATCTCTTATTGAAGCAAATTTATATCCAGTAGGTGCATTTGGTGAGAAATGAATGCCCATATCAAAAGCAGCATTGAGCTTGACACAAAATGATAAATATCTAGTTACCACCATTAGTTTCATTTTTTTTGTAAATAACGAAACTCATGTTAGTCTCCGGAATAGGGAAAATTTGCCCAAAACTATGCATCGAGTCATAGACAAAGTATGAAACACAATTACACCATAAAAGGATGGAGATAAAAAAACATTCGGATGATGGAGAAGGGCTAATATCCTGTAATATTACAATATCTTGTCACACTAATGAGCGATAAGCATTTACAGCCAAAAATGATTTCTCTTACTTTTAATAAATCAATCAGTAGATTCAGGGGAACAGTGACAGAAAAAAATAATACGGGCTGCTCGAAATATTTACATGACTTAAAGTTTGGCTTATTAAAATTTTGAGCATGTGCAAAATAATGGACAAATATGTGGAAATGAGCATGAAAACCAAGGGGAAAAACAGAGGTTGAAAACTTGAAGTGTAAGTTGTTAAGAAAACCTCGATGGCTCAATGCATTGCATCCTCCTACCTAATATACTGCGAACTTTTTCAAGAGCCTCTTCAGAAACAGGTCCATTTGTCGAAAGGGATGCCTTGCAGGAGTTATAGAGCTTCTGCACAGCGGGCATTTTTCGCAACGCGGAACTGTAGTCCACACAAGGCGGCAATAAACTCAACGCTTACAGTATATTTCAAAATCCTGACCTGAAGGGCCCTCTGATTGATAGAAGACCCTTCAAAAACACGGATGGGAATAGACTGGACTCTGTGTCTTCCACCAAGACTACATCCGCGTTATGATTATCTAATCCACTTTCGCATCCTGTCTTCAATAGCACACACTGAAAACAAATGAAACTTCATAGTCAGCATTTTTAAGTCTTCTAATATGATCCACAAAACAGACCAGCTAATTTCCAGGTTCAAATCTCAATAGAAATCACAAAGTTATTGGATTTAGCTATCTGAAACATTCAAATTCCCAACAAACTCAAGTAAAAGCTTCATTTAAAAAAACAAAAACGAAATTGAAAATTCTGCAACACAAAAACTAGGCATCGAAAAAATGATTGCCGCGGAATACACAGATTCTAAAGTGAATACACGCATGTAGTGGAGCGATTACCGAAACAGAAGATGAAGATGAAGAATTCAGAGGAACGTGCCTGGTACAAGCGACCGAATACGGAGAGAGATCCCAGAGGGGAAGAGGGGGACGACGATTGATTGCCCCCTTTTTTTTCGTGCGGAAGCTTTTCCTTTTGGAGGTTTTCGGGTCTGGTCACGGGTCGGAGCTTTATGCGTTTGTGTGGGGTTAGAAATGTCAGGTTATGTACCAAAGAAGCAAAGACACCCATAATGAAGGAGGGGGGAAGAGGACATCAATGAAATGACCCTTTTCTAAAAGAGTGCCATACCCCTAATATGCCTATGTGTTCCAAAAACCATGGTGCACTTCACACTTCACACTCATGGCTATTTCCCTCTTTCCAAGAAAATTACTCCCTTCCTCCTATTAAATTTTTTTATATTTATATTTTGAAGTAATTTGTGGTTACAATCATATTCATAAAAGCAGGGGAATTATGCCCCATGCTTTTTCCCGCCCAAACGCTATCGTTTATGGACCATCAATTTTGATCTACATTTTTAATCTACGGTAATTATAATTAAGCAACATGCAAATATGGCTTTATTTCATTCTATAAAAGGAAAATAGCTTATAAGATTCATGTGTAATTTAATGCGGTGTAAATTTCAATCATTCATTCTTTTTAATTCTTTTTTTAAAACACTCGTCATTTTAATATCTTAAATCGTATTTAAGAAGTCACTTGGGCGGGAAAACGATGAGTACATGTTTCTCCTTCTTTTCAGAATAGGGAAGATGTGGTGGAGATAATTTATGTATTACACAATTGAAAAACATTATATTTCATTATATGGTGTACAAATATTAATTTATAACGTTAATACGAACCGTGCAACGCACGGGATGTGATACTAGTTTGTTTAGAAAAGAATGAATTCTTAGTAGCCATACATTCATTCCTAAAATAATCTTGTACTTCGTAGTCAAGAACATTCAGTGTGTCCAGATTGCTATTCTAGAATACCTTGAATTGGAAAATCTTGACGATGTCCTATTTTTGGAACACTTAAGTTTCGATCCAAAAAGATGCATAAAGTATCGCGGGCGAGCCGGTCTCTCAAAAGGCCCGCTATGAATGAAATTGGTGAGGAGATGAGAAATGAAACTTAAAAGAAAAGGAACACGGTAGTCATTTTTTGCAGCTTTCAAAAGAAAATACATTAAAAAAATTATGAAGTGTGGAAATTATTTTTTATGTTCAAATTTTTATGTTGAATTTATTTAGAAGAGAGTTGATAAATAAAAAATGCATAATAATAAATGATGAACTCTAGAAAATGGAATTCATATACCATACATGCAGATGTACAGTATTGTTTGTACATCCGCATAAATACCCATTTTTGAGAAATAAAAAATTCATTTCGTATGTTTTTTATTTTATTCCCTATGTCTATAACTTTTTCTCATTTGAATTTTTACAATCTCCAATGCAACACTTAACCATTAATATATTTACTTATATATAAATATAAATAAATAAATAATAAATAATAATGTTTTAAAATCATTTTTCACAATGAATTTATTAATGTTAATTTATATGATAATTCAATATACTTCTTTCATAATTTGTGAGTAAAATTTAAAAAGTTTAACCAAATACTATGAAACGGGGAAAAAATATAGATAGAGAGAGTATTATTTATTCAAAATACGTAAATTACCAAATTTGGAGTATACAGTGCTAATTTTGAAAACTTTTGTATATGTTTAAAATGTACTCTCTTCCGTCTCGCAATATTTGTTCACTTTTGATTATTTTTGTCAAAATTGGCAAAATTTAATCTGAAATTAAATAAAAATGATATTAGATATTGATACAAAAATAATTTTATTAGATTTATTATATAAAATATTTTCAAAATATTTTTTTAGTTAATTATATGTCAAAAGTTGAAAACGATTGACTGAAAAAATTTAAAACTGGACTAATACTCTACGATGGAGACAATATGTTTAGAACACTTGGAATCAAGAGTAATTCAAATTCTATGGTTCGGGAAGACACCGACTTAATTGGACACTTATGATCTTTCATTTGAAATATTAATAATTCATACTCTCCCTAGCTCTGTTGGCAAATTATTCCTCATTCACGTCAAATTTACATGATGTAAGTTTAATTAATTTTAAAGTCAAAATTTTTTACTAAAAAATTAAGAGGGTGACCACATGAAGACTTGAATGGTTTCACGTCCGGTCTGGATCAGAGCTATCCGGAAAGTAAGAGGGTGAGGAACTATCCGGTCCTCCGTGACGTGTAGAACCGGACCGTATTTAGAATTAACAAATGGCCCAACAAATTTGAAGGGGCGGCGACGGACCCTGTAACTTTCCGATCTGATTCGGACTCTCTTCCGTCGGAGATGGTTGACGTGATCAAGTGTTGCTTCGACTCCATCGCACAAGTACAATTTCTTCATATATCTCTCCTCAATTTATTCGATTTTTGATTGAGCATTCTATGTTGCATATCCGCTTGCATTGTGTTCTTGTCAAATTTCGGTTTTTGGAAGCTCTGGATTCACGATTTAATTGTTTCAACTGTAATTTCTCGGAATATGTTCAGATATCAGATGACATAAAAGGTGCTATAATATACCTGGATGCTGGGTCTACAGAGAGCTTCCAATTGCTGGGAGCATTTTCTTTGTTATATGAGCTTGGAGCTCATGCCATCTGCAGCCTGGAGAAGACTTCACCTCTTGACAAGGTTGGTGCGATTACATATCCATATCAATCTGTGATTTTTATCTTCCGATGATTGATGGACAAGGACAACTGCTTTACACAATGTCTGCATCTTTCATCACCTTACTTATGTTAGTTATGTAATGAGCTAAATATTGTGACCACATGAATGGTTTATGACTGGATATCAACATTTCATTTATAATGAATTTGTATAAAAACAATACTCGTATAAAACGTTAATGTGTGAGTTGTGGAATGCTTTCATAACAATCCTGAAATGCAATAGAATGTCTGATTTTGAGCACATGATTACATGAGATGTTTTCTTAACATACACGAAATGCAATAGTGGATTTATTTTCTGTGTGATTGAAAGTTCACTTCTGCTTTTTATATGTATCACAATTCACAAGCCAGAATTTCAATTTCTTTTGCCCTCATTCCCATGCTTTCTATCAAGGTGGCTGATTGGAGTTCAGATGCGGGGTCTCACAAGAAGATTGTCGTTATCACATCACGACTTCTAAGTGATGCCCATAGATACATTTTACGTTGTCTCAGCACACTCCAAAATGTGGATCGGTGTGCCATATTTACATCCATTTCGGAGGTTCTCTTTTTTTCTTCATAACTGATGAATGATGCATCCTATTCCACTTTTTCTATGTGTCAGTCGCACAGTGCTATGGTTGAGCAATTCCGTGTCCATTTATTGACTAATCATCCCATCTTCGAATATTTTATTAATTGCAGACCGCTCATTCAGCATATCCTGATTCACCTCTTGGTCCAGATGCCTTCCGTGAATATGAATCTTTGCTTGTTCTAGACTATGAAGAGCAGCTCTTGAGAAGATCTCAGACAAAATGTGAACTTTCTGGGGAAAGTCTACCAAATCAAAATTTAGCTCCTTCAGATGAAGGGTCATCGCCACTTGCTTCCACTGCAGAACACATGTCTCAGTTTGATGGCATTTCAAGTGTAAAGGATCCAGAGGACACTGTTATTGGCAAAGAAACGGTTCCAGGAAGGAAGTTGGATGTTTCTGTGCGCCACTTCCCTTTGGTCTTGTGTCCTTTTTCATCTAAATTCTTTGTCTTACCTTCTGAAGGATCTGTTGCTGAAGCATACCTGTCGACTGAACAAGAGAATTCAATAAGCCGTGGGTTGCCTCCAATAAGCACCGGAATACCTCTTGATAGTGATGATGTCCCTCCTGGAGAGGCTCTTACAGCTCAATTTCTTTATCACTTGGCAGCAAAGGTATTCACTTGCTTTAGCTCCACCGTATAGGTTCATTGAGTTCTCATCGCATGACTTAGCTGTCAGGGATTCAATGGTTC